TTTCCCCCCCCCCCCCCCCCCCCCCTCCCCCTCCAACTTAAATTATGACTGGTCCCTAATAATGATTTGCAGGAAAGAACGTGCAACTCTGTGTCGCCAACTATCAACGAAGATATAGAACAACGATGTTAAGTCTAGCTTTTTAGTATTTTTTTCCCTAGGAAAATTGGCATTGTTCTTCATTGTCATTGCATTTGTTCACATCAGTTTTGCGATGCAGCATAAGCTAAGTAGACACTATTAAAATTAGAGCTGTGATAATAAGCCCAAATACATGTACTATTATGGAACTCTTTCAAGGATACAAATATCAACCGCAACAGAAATGCTCAAGGAAAAAAAAATTGCAAGCCAAGACGAAGCTAGTAAAAGACGCAAGATCAGTCGGATTAACTGACTCAAGTACAGAGTGTGGCCTCAGTTTCTGGAGGTGGCCAATGACACTCATGTTCCTTTGTCGCAAGATGCCAGGTAATGCATTTTGTATAAGCCATGATCCTTGGCAGAAATCTGTTTGCTTTCAAATGTTCCAGTTGAAGCAGCAAAAAGCTGAATAGACAATAGAATGTCTACTCTGTTTAATAAATTTATCCAGTACATATTATTTACCTTGATGTCAAAGGAGAGACGCCTTGATAATTGATTTCCTCTTTTTCGAGGATCTCACTAAAATCATTCTTCCTTCACAAATTCCAGATATAACGCGTAAAATTAGCCTAAGATCAACTTGAAGCGTCCTTTTTTTCGAGGAAGTGTGATCGAGTTCATGCTATACACAGTAAAATGAAACGAATTCCGATTGACCGAGGCAAACAACGATTCTTAGATTTACATAAGGTATGCTTGATTCCCAGTAGCGGAAATGGACCACTAAAAACACTGATAAGCTTCAGACTGAGTCGTTCCCGGTTCGTAGCTTTTACAACCCATGAGTGTGCAGTCGCTTGACAGCTTGGCTCAAAAGCTTGTGATAAAGAAATAACCGTGTAAGCGAGCAGTATGAATTTAAAGTATTTGTGGCTGATAAGTCATAAAACTTGGTAATTCTGAAATGAAATGGACCAAAGAATATTGAGAGACGAACTCTGAATCTCCAGCCTTCAACGAAGATATATGCAGAGCAATAGAAGTCAAGCAAGCAATTTATTATTTAACATTCAAAGTGCTCTTGGCCGGCCCTCTAAGTTCCTTCTTTAAACTAGCGTCCAACGGAAAAGAGATCCTTAAACTTACTTTTTACGTTCTTGTCATGCAATAATGAAGATGCCTTTGCGCCTTGCCTCAGTGACGCAAGTATCGGATAAATCAGTTATGAAATGCTTTCTTGCAATAATGTTAAGTCTTCATTCCCGGATACAAAGCACCTAAAGGTGTATTTAAGTTTTAAATCGACTAAGATATACAGACTGAGACACCTCCACCACCTTTGAAATAATGTTATGATTGGTAGGAAAGATAAACTCTGAATCTTCAGCCTTTAAAGAAGATATACGAAGAACAATGGAATTTAAGTTTAGTGTTTAACTATTTTTTCGCAGTAAGTTAACAGAGCTCTTGCCATAAGCTTTCGCATTGCCGCCCGTAATATTACATAGCATCAAAATGACGAGATTTAATTCTTCCACGAAGCATTAAAGAGGTGTTCTCCTGGATCATCGTCTGCGCGCTGCTTTAAGAGCTGTGCTAATAGATACGAACGTAAGTCCTGTTGAACTCTGGCAAGAACACTAGACATATAACGAAAAAGAAAGACTCAAACGGGAAAGGCTGGCGAGATCAAATACACCAGACAAAGGCTTTAGATTTAATATAATACAACGTAAGTTGGCTTAAACGGTGTGCTTCAACCGACAACCGTGTGAAACGTATTACATCCTGAAGAAATAAGATTATTTCTCGAACTCAATTTGACCTTACCATTTTCCGTGGACGTAAGAACACAAAATTTATAAATGTTTACTCATATAAAATAATAATAGTCTTCCACATTGTATAATAGAAAATTACAACATCAAAATTCCTTTGTGTTGCGCCGCACGGAAACGTATAAACTGTAATTACGAAACAGAAACATGGAAGCTTTCCTCATCTCATACAGGTTTTAAAATTGTTCATCTTTTCATTGTTTGGCCAATTCAAGTGCGTTAGTTGTTATAAGCAATTCAGACTCTTCGAGGTCTGCTGAGAACATTCTTTTCATCGAGCGCTCGATAATGGCGGCTTCCAAACGTACGAATGAAATGAAAAAAGTCTCCATCACAATAGATTGCTGTTCTTTCTCAATTCTTGGATTTTAATTTATATACGGTATGACGTCGAACAAGCCAGTTTTCTTTCTTTCTTTTTCGTGGCTTTCCTGACTCAAAAGTATGATAATCAGCCATGAAAATTATTTAGTTCATTTATTTTTCTTTTAATAATTCCCCTCAGCACAAGTCTGGCCTTGCTTGATATCAGTTTGAGGCATTGGCCAGTTTCCTAATTGCTTGATTTGTTGTCATAACATTCCCTGCTATCGGTTTTTAGAATAAAAGACAAGCAATAGGCAAATATATTTAAATACAACCGCCTCTAGCCGCCATCCTGTTCACGGCATAACGATAATGTCCAGTTTTCTCTTTTCCGATCATCAGAAGGGAGCCTTTAAACGAAGATAAAAGAATAACAAATTCCAGATTCAGTACCTAACTGTGGCTTCGCGATGACACCGCCAATAAGACAACATGGACTGGGAGTATTAGACAGCATGGCCAACAATTACCGCTAACGCGTAAGAAAGAAAGAAATGTGAGATAGGACATACCGAAAACTTTATGATAGCGCCAATTTTTTAAGGCCCACTGTAAATATGTGTTTTGTGGCCAAACATACTCCACAGAACGTTCTCACCGAGGAAACATCAGCACTAGTTTGCCAAATCGACTGATTTGCGGCCAAAGCGAAGAGCCTCCCAAAACTCAATGTCACGAGCAGCGTAGTTTGCTAAACATGAATTCAAGCCCCTGCAATAAAGTTTACAAGCGTGTTACACGTAATGTACATTTTAGCAGGACTGCATCACGGGATTAATCCTGAATGTAACACCATATCAAGAAACAAAATGATACTGAATACAGGTGGAAAAACATCTTAGAGGAGCACAGCTACTTTCAAACTGTACGCTTGTAAATCTGTGCTACTTACAGTAAGTAATTATGACTGGCCTTCTTCAACTCCTTTGCCCGATGGAAGAAAGAACTGTCACTTGGTGTGGATTTGTATTTCATCTTCTTGGTGCCAACCTAGCAGAAGGTTTTGAATGAAAATAATTGGATGGAAAACGCTTTAATACACTTAATATATATATTAAACAATCGACAGCAACAGGTCGCGAGTTGGATGTTAGAGACCTTCTGTAAACATACAAACGTGTGCTGATTTTCGTGAGGAAAAGGTGTGAGGTGCTTTTGTTCCATATTCAAATGCATAACCTTTTGTCAACTGTGCACGTTTTGTTTTGCAATCTTGAACTTGTCCAGGGGAGTGTAATTGGCTTCAAGATGTGCAAAAAATACAGAAACCAACAAGAAACTTGCAAAGCTCTCCCCCTTCATCAACCTCTTAGTCTTCAAAGAAAACGATTACTCTTATTACTACTTTCTATACCCTTGGAGAAAAGTGTTATAAAAATTGTTATCGAAGAAATCAACCAAATCTTAGATGGGAATCTTTTTTAACAAAATAGCAGTTACAAATTAGGTACTCATCGTAATACGACATCCCGAAGTGTGTTTTCCTTCAAATACTTCTTTCACTCATGATAGTTCTTCACCAATAAAAAGGCCTATCTTAGACTTGTCCAACTAACAAGTTTAACGTTATTTCTTATTAAATTAACCGAAAGATATGATATGTTGTGCAAATATGTATGAGTTTGAGATGTGAAATGTAGAAACAGTTCTCAGACCTTTTATTTTCTTTGCATAGACTACTCGATTTGTGCCTGTCAGTATTAGTCAGTCGACGCCGATGCTATTGTTTAGGACAATTAAATATTAAAATAAATTCTGTTCTTTTTTCGCCTTTGCGCCCTGCATAACTGCCCAAGCAAACAATACGTGATACTAGCAGTTAAATAAATTTGATTTTAAGACGAGCAAATAAGAAACTTGCAAAGAGGATGTCCTCATCTAGTACATGTTCTTTACTTGCCAGTATTTTCGCATTCATTAATTTCTCTTAAACACAAATCAATTCCCTCACGTGAGGTAACTCTCTGTGGGTATAAAACTTTCCACGCATTTACTAGTACAAGGTCACTCAGGAAATCAAATGGCCACTGCTTTTCAAATGTATACATCAAGCGATGAAAAGTGATCTCCTATCGAACAGAAACGTCTCATAGACGCCAGTAATGACCGCTTGCAAGCGTACGAATAAACTGATAAAAATTTCGAAGTGCTTCCCTGTTTAAGTGAAAGTTATCTGGTACTATCTTTTGAATAAGCCATGATCCTTGGCTTATTCAATCCAGTGGCTGCTTTCCAATTTTACAAATGAATCTACACAAAAGTGAATAGACAATGCTATGAACAGTTGGCTGAATAAATTTGTCCACCACACACCATTATCCTTGAACTAAAATGCCTGATGTCAACAGAGATGCGTTAAAAACTGATCATCTCTCTATCAAACAGCGCACTAAAATCATTGTTGTTCTTTCAGCAACTACCTTATATCTAATACAAAGGCGGTTTTGGTTAAAAGATGAAATTTAAGCGTGTGGAAAGTATAAGTTGCCCAAGGGATAACATCATTCTTTAGATTGAAATTTTTACCATATGATTTTCCGTGGAGATTAGGATAGAAATATATATGGTTCCTAATGTCAAACAGTTAGCCTTGAACAGTGCAAAATGGAAATATCTCTCACAACAAAATTCGCTTGTGCTGCGCAGATGAGAAGTGCGAATTAAGAAACCGAAACACAGAAGCTTTGTCAACTCAGTCAGGTCTTTAACTTTGCTTGGCCATTCCGCCAAAACAAATCAGATTGTTTCAGTAAAAGCGATCTGCTGTCGAACAGAATTAGTTTTTGCATAAATTCATCGATGCCCATAATGGCCACTAACAAACGTACGAACAAAGTTCTTAACCTGTTCGAGTCCCCAACATAATTAAAATTACGTCCAATACAATGTATATGTGTCATGCAGGAAAGTTTTCCTTTTCTCATTTGGCTTTTCTGATGTAAATCTGACACAATCAACCAAGAGTTTTATTTATTTATTTTCATTCATTTATCCATTTATTTATATATTCATTATTTCCTTTAACATAATTTAGTGCTCGTGAGGTGTTTTGTTGTATTACATCAGTTGCCACAAAAATATACACATTGAAGCTCTGTCACTGCTTATCCATAAACAACATGTCTAAAACCTGATACAGAATAATTTACTAGAAAGATTTAAGGCATGGATTGCATATAGGGAGACTTGCCACTAAAATTACATTTAAGGTCTATCTAAATTTATAATTGCAAGAGTTTTTTCCGCTTCCAGATTCGTAATGTTATCGCTATTTCAACTATTTATATCAGTTTTGCCTTCCTCTAATATTAAGGCATTATCAAAATGACGATAGGTGCACCATTGTCTCCGGTAACACGCTCTGAAAGCTGAAAATAAGCACTTCTTCAGGCATTGAACGCATGGGAGGGAAATTCGCACATATCGCAAACTGTAATGATTGAAGACAACAGACTCGCAAGATGGCAGATGCTCGGTTAAGACTTTAAACAAAGCCAGAGTTGTAGGTTGATATGTTGTGCATGATCAGTCAGTCTAACCATAGATATCCTGTCAAATTCACTCAAGGTTGTTGCAGTAACAAGCGTGTTGATCTGTAGCATGATTTTACTTCCCTGTACCAGAACATGCCATTATCTTGGGGGAAGATCAATGACTGCTTTTAAATTTCAAAATTAACCAATACAGACATGAATAAACAATGTCTGCTCTTTGCCCACTACATTCGTGCAAGATAATTACTAGGCTTGTATATAGTACTGCCCTCAATTCGGGCTTTGCAAATCAAGTTTCACACAAAGCTAGGGGAAAAATGTCAGTCCATCAACCGTAATTCATGCCACTTATGGTATTAATTCATTTTCTGTAAAGTATAAAAAAATGTGTTGTGCAAAGAAAAGACGAGTGAGAATTGTTCTCACCTTATTTATCAGTCAAATATACTTTCACAAATTTGATAGCAAAGTAAGTACTATATGCTCTTTATGCTATAAAGGTCTAAGATCCATTTTTCAGCATAGACAGCAGAACATTACTTCCCACTTGTGGACAAGGGCACTTTCACATTGTGGAGGCAGTAGAGGTAAGCCTGTCGTAGTGTAGAAAATCTGGACCAAGCCGTCAAAAGCAAGATTAGAAGTCTTATAACAAACACATTTGCACCTTTTCAAGAAGGGTAAAATGCGGACAATCCAAGAAAGCTAATTAGAACTAATGGCTATCAAGCTATGTACATAAAACGTTGTGCCCGCAAACAACCGTGTGGCCACCACCAATTGCCACCTTACTTTCAGAAAAGTTATTCACGTGTACTAAAGAAAACGCAAAAGAAAACCGTCTGCAAATGGTAAACTCATTTATTTAAAAGTTTTGAAATATTTTTAACAGATATGAAAATGTTTAATGAAAGGAAAAAGGTTTGGAACCAACTAAATTATGCTGCAGCCGAAACAAATGAAGCAAATATACACCTCGATACGCCGAGGTGTTGCTAAACACAAGTTTCTAGAAGCTTTATTTGTGGTCGTTTAATCGTCACTGCCGTTTGTTAGAATAAGTGACAGGCAATATTCAACGCACGATTGCTGTTTCTTTCTGTGACCTTTTTAGGCAAATTCTCAGTGCGAATGAAACCGCAGAGAATTATCTACAGAAATACATACGGCTCCTAATGTCACACAGTTAGCGTTGAACAGTTCGGTTTTCCCAATATCGGAAACTAAACCTTAAAAGAATCATAAAAAAATGATTGAGACAAGATTCGACACCAAACAGCGACGTAACGATCACACAGTGACAAAACAACGTGGACGCGAAGTAAAACACAACATAACCACAAAATATTGCTACTGCAAAAGACAGAAAAGGATGTGGATACCTTCGGACTTATCTTGCAGAAGCGCCAGTTTTCGAGGCCCGATGCATCTGTGTTTCGTTGCCAAACAACACTGCTCCACCAAAATTTCACCGCACGTGATCATAAGCATTCGTTTGCCCCATCGCTAGATTTAGGGCCATGAGTAGATTTCCCAAAATTAAACAATTCAAGCAGCATTCAGTTTCCTGAACAAGGATAAAACCCTAACAAGGTTTGACTACGTGTTTTACGCAAGGCATATTTGAGCTTAGTTGACTGGGTCACGAGATCTATTACTTAATAAGATGCTTTCGCGATGAACAGAATGACACTAAAGCAGGAAAATCTACGTGGACTAACATGTATAAGAATCTAAGAGCACCACAGCTACTTTCAGTACTTTTTGTACTAACAAGAACAACTATCAAGTGGTCATTACTGAGCTTCTCCGACTCCCTTGCCCGATAGAAGGAATTGTCACTTGGTGTTGCTTCGTATTTCACAATCGTAGTGCCCCCCTAATGGAAAGTTTTGACTGAAAATCATTGCATGAAAAAAACGCTTTAATTTACAGTGAATATTAATCCAACACCTGCAAGCTTAAAACAGATTTGAGAGCAACACAGGAAGCGTAGAATTGAACAGGTCGAGACTCAGATGTCAGAGCCCCATCTTCCCGACATAAATTCTATTCATGTCCGCTGACTTGCATGAGAAAAAGGTGAAAAGTGCTTATCGTCTTTCTTTAGAAAAAATAATCTTTTGTCAACTGAGCACCTTTTCTTGTGCATTCATGAGCTCATCCAGAGCCATAATTGCACGAGTGAAACAACAGAAGCTTTGTCAACTCAGTCAGGTCTTTAACTTTGCTTGGCCATTCCGCCAAAACAAATCAGATTGTTTCAGTAAAAGCGATCTGCTGTCGAACAGAATTAGTTTTTGCATAAATTCATCGATGCCCATAATGGCCACTAACAAACGTACGAACAAAGTTCTTAACCTGTTCGAGTCCCCAACATAATTAAAATTACGTCCAATACAATGTATATGTGTCATGCAGGAAAGTTTTCCTTTTCTCATTTGGCTTTTCTGATGTAAATCTGACACAATCAACCAAGAGTTTTATTTATTTATTTTCATTCATTTATCCATTTATTTATATATTCATTATTTCCTTTAACATAATTTAGTGCTCGTGAGGTGTTTTGTTGTATTACATCAGTTGCCACAAAAATATACACATTGAAGCTCTGTCACTGCTTATCCATAAACAACATGTCTAAAACCTGATACAGAATAATTTACTAGAAAGATTTAAGGCATGGATTGCATATAGGGAGACTTGCCACTAAAATTACATTTAAGGTCTATCTAAATTTATAATTGCAAGAGTTTTTTCCGCTTCCAGATTCGTAATGTTATCGCTATTTCAACTATTTATATCAGTTTTGCCTTCCTCTAATATTAAGGCATTATCAAAATGACGATAGGTGCACCATTGTCTCCGGTAACACGCTCTGAAAGCTGAAAATAAGCACTTCTTCAGGCATTGAACGCATGGGAGGGAAATTCGCACATATCGCAAACTGTAATGATTGAAGACAACAGACTCGCAAGATGGCAGATGCTCGGTTAAGACTTTAAACAAAGCCAGAGTTGTAGGTTGATATGTTGTGCATGATCAGTCAGTCTAACCATAGATATCCTGTCAAATTCACTCAAGGTTGTTGCAGTAACAAGCGTGTTGATCTGTAGCATGATTTTACTTCCCTGTACCAGAACATGCCATTATCTTGGGGGAAGATCAATGACTGCTTTTAAATTTCAAAATTAACCAATACAGACATGAATAAACAATGTCTGCTCTTTGCCCACTACATTCGTGCAAGATAATTACTAGGCTTGTATATAGTACTGCCCTCAATTCGGGCTTTGCAAATCAAGTTTCACACAAAGCTAGGGGAAAAATGTCAGTCCATCAACCGTAATTCATGCCACTTATGGTATTAATTCATTTTCTGTAAAGTATAAAAAAATGTGTTGTGCAAAGAAAAGACGAGTGAGAATTGTTCTCACCTTATTTATCAGTCAAATATACTTTCACAAATTTGATAGCAAAGTAAGTACTATATGCTCTTTATGCTATAAAGGTCTAAGATCCATTTTTCAGCATAGACAGCAGAACATTACTTCCCACTTGTGGACAAGGGCACTTTCACATTGTGGAGGCAGTAGAGGTAAGCCTGTCGTAGTGTAGAAAATCTGGACCAAGCCGTCAAAAGCAAGATTAGAAGTCTTATAACAAACACATTTGCACCTTTTCAAGAAGGGTAAAATGCGGACAATCCAAGAAAGCTAATTAGAACTAATGGCTATCAAGCTATGTACATAAAACGTTGTGCCCGCAAACAACCGTGTGGCCACCACCAATTGCCACCTTACTTTCAGAAAAGTTATTCACGTGTACTAAAGAAAACGCAAAAGAAAACCGTCTGCAAATGGTAAACTCATTTATTTAAAAGTTTTGAAATATTTTTAACAGATATGAAAATGTTTAATGAAAGGAAAAAGGTTTGGAACCAACTAAATTATGCTGCAGCCGAAACAAATGAAGCAAATATACACCTCGATACGCCGAGGTGTTGCTAAACACAAGTTTCTAGAAGCTTTATTTGTGGTCGTTTAATCGTCACTGCCGTTTGTTAGAATAAGTGACAGGCAATATTCAACGCACGATTGCTGTTTCTTTCTGTGACCTTTTTAGGCAAATTCTCAGTGCGAATGAAACCGCAGAGAATTATCTACAGAAATACATACGGCTCCTAATGTCACACAGTTAGCGTTGAACAGTTCGGTTTTCCCAATATCGGAAACTAAACCTTAAAAGAATCATAAAAAAATGATTGAGACAAGATTCGACACCAAACAGCGACGTAACGATCACACAGTGACAAAACAACGTGGACGCGAAGTAAAACACAACATAACCACAAAATATTGCTACTGCAAAAGACAGAAAAGGATGTGGATACCTTCGGACTTATCTTGCAGAAGCGCCAGTTTTCGAGGCCCGATGCATCTGTGTTTCGTTGCCAAACAACACTGCTCCACCAAAATTTCACCGCACGTGATCATAAGCATTCGTTTGCCCCATCGCTAGATTTAGGGCCATGAGTAGATTTCCCAAAATTAAACAATTCAAGCAGCATTCAGTTTCCTGAACAAGGATAAAACCCTAACAAGGTTTGACTACGTGTTTTACGCAAGGCATATTTGAGCTTAGTTGACTGGGTCACGAGATCTATTACTTAATAAGATGCTTTCGCGATGAACAGAATGACACTAAAGCAGGAAAATCTACGTGGACTAACATGTATAAGAATCTAAGAGCACCACAGCTACTTTCAGTACTTTTTGTACTAACAAGAACAACTATCAAGTGGTCATTACTGAGCTTCTCCGACTCCCTTGCCCGATAGAAGGAATTGTCACTTGGTGTTGCTTCGTATTTCACAATCGTAGTGCCCCCCTAATGGAAAGTTTTGACTGAAAATCATTGCATGAAAAAAACGCTTTAATTTACAGTGAATATTAATCCAACACCTGCAAGCTTAAAACAGATTTGAGAGCAACACAGGAAGCGTAGAATTGAACAGGTCGAGACTCAGATGTCAGAGCCCCATCTTCCCGACATAAATTCTATTCATGTCCGCTGACTTGCATGAGAAAAAGGTGAAAAGTGCTTATCGTCTTTCTTTAGAAAAAATAATCTTTTGTCAACTGAGCACCTTTTCTTGTGCATTCATGAGCTCATCCAGAGCCATAATTGCACGAGTGAAACTGACCACTAGATTTGTAATAACAACGAGACCAAGCGAAATAGACCTGCAAGGCTCTGTTCGTCCATCAAGCAGTAAGCAAGTCTTCAATATAAGTTAGTAAGTTATTACTCTTATAACTACTTTTTAAACCCCTGGAAAAACGTATATCCACAGGAGTGCCGTAGAAATCAAGCAAGGATTACAAGGGAATGATTCTAAACCACTGTTATCATCATAATAAGATATCCCGAAGCATGTTCTTTTACGATCGATAACCCTTTAGCAGTGCAGATGCATGCCTCTCTTTGACTAGTCCAACTACAAATATAACTTTAAAATTTCTTTTATACGCTAAATGTACCGAAGGAGATGTCATCTCGTGCAAATTTGTCTGATTGCTAAAACGTAGAAACACCTCTAAATCCTTTAAGTTCACTACATTATATAGACTGCTGATTTTGCAATCATTAATGCAATCAATTTCGTTAGTCTATTGTTTCCAACAGTTGAAGTTGAGAATCATTATCTTCTTCTCTGGCCTTCTGCGCTTTGCACAATTGCCACAACTAACAGACGGTGATAATTGGAGTAAATACCTCGGACTTTCAGACGTGCAAGCAAAGTAACAGAAAAGTGGAGAGTATCCTTATCTAACAACAGGTCTTGACATTTAAGAGATGTTCTTTAGGTGGCCCGTGTAGCTCTTTCTACAAAATAGACTACTTTCTTTCCTCAGTCGATCCTTGGACTTCTTTCCGCTTTATGTGCAAATATCAAACGACACGAAGGTCACCTGAAGCAAGTTTCAGATAAATCAGCTGTGGAGTCAAATGTTTCCAATAATAGAAAATTCTTCATACCCGAAAAGAAAGTACCTTCAGGTGTATTAAGGTAATAGCCAACCAAAGATTTCATATCATTACTTCTGTTCATTTTACTTTCGCGATGCAGTAACATTAGATAGAAACAAAATGACGGTGGAAATAGTTCTGCGAAGAGGAATCATAACGTCTTTGTCCTGCATCATCCCTTCCCACAGCACGCCTTTTAAGTTCAGGGATAATTACTTTAATGGACATGTACCGGATACATTTATTCAACAAACTGGAAATGGCATTGTCTACTCAGGTTTGTGTTGCTTCATTTCTGAGCTTGGAAGGCAAATATAGATTTTCGCCAAAGATCATGGCTTACATGAAATACCTTAGGAATATGTATGCTTGTGTCACTTAGACTGGTCTCGCGTCTTTCGTCTTTCAGTTTCAGTTTCGTCTAGTGTCTTTCAGCGTGCAGCTCTTAACATTTGATCAGCTTTCCTTTGCTTCACAGGTTATAGTGAGTTGTTCTTCCTAAGTGTTCAAGTGATCTGCTGTCAATTGGGAACGTTTCTTCCATAAGCTTATCGAGTGCAACAACGGCTTCTAAATGTACGAATGATTTCATAAAGTGTGCTTCAGTGTATTATTGTCTCCAACCTAATATATGTCTGTCCTTTACCGATCCTTCGATGAAGGTTATGTCTTATACGATGACGCACAAGCCAGTTTTCGTTCTTTTTGGCGAGGTGTTGGCGAAGATGGCTCATAAGGTGTGATTCAGTGTTAAATCTGTTGACCCAAAAAAAAAGACACGCTGAGGCTCTGTCCTTTGCATATCCAAAAACAACAAGTCTGCCTAAACCTGATATGGAATAATATATTAGAATGATTTAGGCCGAATGAGCTACATACAAGAAGACCTGTATTGCCATTTAAGTGTCATTGTCTGAGAAAGTGTTCCAGGGGCCAAAAGTTGTGGTCAACCGATTTGGCTGAAACTTGGCACAGAAGTTAGGTATAATGAGATATTTCAAAAGCCACTTTAGCTCACTTCTCTGAGTTTTAGTTTTGGAGTTACAGTGGGGGTCTCATTTTTTGCCCTTTGAGCACCAAAAATCCAGCCTTCCAGGGGGCATTTTGAAAGTGTGATAAGACCCCACTGGTAAATTGTGCTGCCAAATGAATTTGACCATGAACTCTACTATAATAGAGCTTTCAGTTCATGCATGTAACTTTGTCCTCAAGGTATTGCATAGAGAGGAGCCTGGGGCTAGAGTTTGGCCAAAATTGATGTTAAAATTACAACCCAAAATAGCCATTTTTCAAAATTTCACTTTATTAACCTGCCTTCTTGCATAACTTCCAAACCTATACCACTGTTTACTATAGTCACCCAGTTATCAAAATCAGTTGAGAAAAATTTGGCTTATTATGGTTTATTGAATTTTTGGAACAAACACTTCATGCCCCTCTAAGGCGATGCAAAATGGAATTTTGAGCCTAATTCAGGCCATTAACAAACCAAATTGTTAACAAGAAGCCCTTATTCTGTATTTGGTAAGTGAAAATGAATTGTCAAAGCCAAATCAGTTTTGTTGTTTAGAAATACACCGATTCTTACCTTAAAATTGATCTAAAACGGGCCTCTGATTAGCGCAACAAACACATAATTTAGCAAAACAAAGGTGATTTTATTTTTTGAAAACCTAATAACCACCATAGAACACAAATGATGATGTTCTGATGTACATATAATAATCTTTTTACAAGATGCTTAAATTTTTCTTTGATTTATAGTCAGTTTCACGTCATATTTCTAAGCATTACTCCAAGCATGGAAAGTCTCCATATTTTGTCGGGCCCATTTTTTTACATTTTTACCAGATAAATTTAGCTTATCAAAAGGTTCGTTAACATATAATCTTTGTCTGACTTTGTAATAGCCTGAATAGTTTTTTTAAATACCCATCAGCAAAGGAGCATGACCATACATACGTAGATGACACAGGCATATACCAGCTTCAGTGAGCAGTATCGAGGTGAACTGTGATTTTCCAAGTCCTTTAGAGCTGAAAAAATGAAACCTTCCATCCACGGTTAGGAGAGCTCGATAAAAAAAGCTTGTTTTGCTTTTATAAAGAAAATAACCCAAACAAAGCCCTGCATTGAGATGATGCACTTGTTATTACATCAAGTTAGCTGGCCCGCCATTTTGGACTTGAAAAGTGTGGGAACTGGACCGAGTTCCCGTCCAATCCTTCTCCCGTTTCGTGGGAATTTTTTCTGTTTTTCATGTGTGTTTTTCATGTGGGTGTGTAAAGCCATCTGTTTCATGATAATTTTATTTTTGATGGCACTTTATTCCTTTGGAGGGGAAAATGGCCAGTGCGGTGTCACGTCATGGGCTGTGCAAGAAACAGGAATGCTTCCTTTGTTGTCTTGCTGTAGAGGGATTCAGGTGCGTCCGGGGAAGAAGAGGAAGAACTGGCGATGCCAAAGCTACAGGTGATTCAAAAGATCAGTTAGGGATCATAAACGCACACAAATGATTTTTATCGCAGTTTATTTGCTTGAAGAAAGACTGGAATGATATATAATTTACGATATTGTCTTCTCAAATTGTTTGTTCACATGGTTGATTGATTCCCATGTTAATTTCCTGGGTCCTTACGAAGAGCACTAAACATTCAACAAACTCATCGCAGAAATATCTTTATCACGTGGGCACGCTTATCAAGCAATGCTAAGTTTGGCAATGCACAATTTGAGCCAGCTTGTATTGAAACTCCACCAGTCTCCTTTATTTGCCTGTTTCGTCGAAGACAAGTCAACTTAAAATAGGCTTAGCTACAAAATTCCGTAGGAATTGTTTTGGAAATTTTAGACACGAAAAAGAATTTTAGAAAATCTCAAGAATATTAGAAAAAAATTGACAAATACTAGAACTTAAATAGCAGTATATATAGGAGAATACTGAATAGCAACACTTCACAGGCAGAAACGTTGAAAAACCGTTTTTATATTTCTGTATTCCTACCAACCAAGAGAGGGCTCAGTCCACCCACATGCTACAACAGTGTCTAGAGTACTGTTCACTGAGCACAACAAATCAGCAGTTTTTCATCAGAGTCATCTACACTACAACTAATCAGCGGTTATTCACCAAAAGAGGCCCTCGCTATCCAAAAAAAATTAAAATTTTGTGGGTTTTTTTAGGGAATTTTAGAGAGTTTTAGCAGATAACACTCTTATTTAGGTATATTTTTTCATTATTCTTTTAACTGAATAGTTAACATTATTCTAAATAATTTTTTAATTAAATAATGAAACAATTTTTTGTGCAAATATACACAAATCTTCCGCGCTCTTCCAGAACAATTCAGAGTCAGTTCCCATTCCAAGCAAATCCAATAATATCAACTAATTCGGTCGATTTTGCGACGACGTTTTAGTGACATTTTTTCCCTGAAAATGTCAATTTCATCGAAAAACTTAGATGCAGCATGTTTGCAAAGATCTTCGACGAAAAGGGTAAATAATGGCATTGTGCATTGCAAGATAAACGTGTGCACGTGACAAGCTTAATGTAAACAAGCAGCTGTATTCCTATCAACCAAGACAGGGCTCAGTCCACCCAGACCCAGATTTGTCTAGATTATCGTACTTTTTTTTTTTTGGACAAATTTGATGAATGTTTAGTGCTCTTCCTAAGGACCCAGGATATTAACATGGGAATCAATCAACCTTAAACAAACAATTTGAGACGACAATATCGTAAACTACACATCGTCGTCTCTAAATCTCTCTTCAGTCAGAAGAGTCCCCTAGATCACGATAAAAGCCATTTGTGCGCGTATATAATCCCTAACTGATATTTTGAATCACCTGTAGCTTTGACATCACCAGTTCTTCCTCTTCTTGCCCGGACACACCTGAACCCTTCTACTTGTGCTTTAACCATGCAGTCATGTCACTATGGCAAGACAACAAAGGAAGCATTCCTGTTTCTTGCTCAGCCCATGACGCGACACCGCACTGGTCATTTACCCCTCCAAAGGAATAAAGTGCCATCGAAAATAAAATTATCCTGAAACAGATCCCTTCCAGAATTTCCAACACACCTGACGAAAAACAGAAAAAATTCCTGCAAAACGGGAGAAGGATTGGACGGGAACTTGGTCCAGTCCCCACACTCTTCAAGTCCAAAATGGCGGGCCAGCTAACTTGATGTAATAACAAGTGCATCATCTCAATGCAAGGCTTTGTTTCGGTTATTTTCTTTATAACAGCAAAACAAGCTTTTTGTTATCCAGCTCTCCTAACCGTGGATGAATGGTTTCATTGTTTCAGCTCTAAAGGACTCGGAAAATCAAAGTTCACCTCGATACTGCTCACCGAAGCTCGTATATGTCTGTGTAATCTATGTATGTATTGTCATGCTTCTTTGCTGATGGGTATTTAAAACAACTATTCAGGCTATTACAAGGTCAGACGAAGATTATATGTTAACGAACCTTTTGATAAGCTAAATTTATCTGGTAAAAATATAAAAAAAAGGGCCTGACAAAATATGGAGACTTTCCATGCTTGGAGTAATGCTTAGAAATATGACGTGAAACTGACTATAAATCAAAGAAAAATTTAAGCATCTTGTAAAAGATTGTTATATGTACATCAGAATATCATCATTTGTGTTCTATGGTGGTTACTAGGTTTTCAAAAAATAAAATCACCTTTGTTTTGCTAAATTATGTGTTTGTTGCGCTAATCAGAGGCCCGTTTTAGATCAATTTTAAGGTAAGAATCGGTGTATTTCTAAACAACAAAACTGATTTGGCTTTGACAATTCATTTTCACTTACCAAATACAGAATAAGGGCTTCTTGTTAACAATTTGGTTTGTTAATGGCCTGAATTAGGCTCAAAATTCCATTTTGCATCGCCTTAGAGGGGCATGAAGTGTTTGTTCCAAAAATTCAATAAACCATAATAAGCCAAATTTTTCTCAACTGATTTTGATAACTGGGTGACTATAGTAAACAGTTGCATAGGTTTGGAAGTTATGCAAGAAGGCAGGTTAATAAAGTGAAATTTTGAAAAATGGCTATTTTGGGTTGTAATTTTAACATCAATTTTGGCCAAACTCTAGCCCCAGGCTCCTCTCTATGCAATTCCTTGAGGACAAAGTTACATGCATGAACTGAAAGCTCTGTTATAGTAGAGTTCATGGTCAAATTCATTTGGCAGCACAATTTACCAGTGGGGTCTTATCACACTTTCAAAATGCCCCCTGGAAGACGGGATTTTTGGTGCTCAAAGGGCGAAAAATGAGACCCTCCCTGTAACTCCAAAACTAAAACTCAGAGAAGTGAGCCAAAGTGGCTTTTAAAATATCTCATTATACCCAACTTCTGTGCCAAGTTTCAGCCAAATCGGTTGACCACAACTTTTGGCCCCTGGAACACTTTCTCAGACAATGACACTTAAGGCGAATTATCGTGCTTCTATTACAATCGCTTCAGGTGCCCGTGATTTTTAGGGAATATCACAATGACGATTGAATTAAGCTCGAAGCTTAACCACCTTTCGAAGGTTGATAATAATCATAAATGCATCTCGAACACATGGAAGAAGATTCAAACATACCAGAAACGGAGATACTTTGAAGAAAAAATGGCTCAGAGGAGAAAATACTGGTTTAAAGCTACCCAAACAAACAAAAGGAGTTTCCGTTGGTAGGTTCGAATCAAGGGCAACCAAAGACTGTTTAGTGTGAAATATCTGTTCGGCGAAGCAAATATGGCCTAGAATTTTCTATTACTTGAGGACGGCTAAGATTTCTAGATGACTGTTCCACTCATGTACAGTTTTCGAAGCTAATATCTAGTAGAATCCCTACAATTTTCTCAAGTTTAATTTTCACATTTCACTTCCCAAGTTAGGCTATTTTCGTAGAGAAAAGGAAACCTAAAATTTTCGGACTCAAAAATGCAATGGAGAGAGAAATCAGAAAATGTCTCACTTTCGTAACCCGTCAAATTGCACCTAAAATTTTCGAAAAAATAATATTAACGCCCTTGTAATTTCGAAAAGACTCAAGTTTCCCTAGGATGGCCGAACAGATACAAATAATATTCTATAGCGCCGCTTATAATGCATTTCTAGACATCTAAAAGTACTCCGGATAGCCTAATAAGTGTTATCAATGCATTTAAGAGGAAACCGTCCTTGGGTACCCCTGAGTGCATAATAGATAAATACCTCTTCACGAAAACGTATAAGATGTGTGCATCAAAAACAGTTCTAGAAAATTTCCTCATCTCAGATTTTAAGATTGATCAGCTTTGCTTTGCTTGGCCAATTTTAGTGCATTCATTAGTTGTTTTCTACTACAAACGAGATTCCTCTGGTAAAAGTGATCCTCTGTTGATTGAATAAGTTTCTTACATAAATTCATCGGGTGCAAAATTGGCCGCCTCCAATTGTACGACTGAAGTGTTAACTTTAGGTTAATGCTCCATCAGAATAAATATCTCTCCTTTCTTGAACCTTGGACTAAACGTATGTCTGATATGATGTCCTATAAGCCACTTTGCTTTCTTTCTTTTGGCATTCCTGATGCAAATCATTCAAATTCAGCCGATGAGTTTATTTAATTCATACACTTCTCTCGGTATAGCCCATGCTTGTTGTTATTGAAGAAAATTTATAGGGCTATTCAAGTAAGAGTTTCCGCTGGTACGTTCGTATTGTTATCGGCATTACAGCTATGTATAATGTTTCAACCTCCCAATAATATGATGGTAGCATGACAGTGGCGATAGGCCTATTACTTTTCAGAGCACGCTTCGAAGGCTGCGTATAGACCCCCTACTGGAGTCTTTTTTACCACTGAGCGATCTACCAACGCGTTGGTAGTCAAAACAAAGCTAGTATATGACAGAAAAGAGTTACTAAAACACTCGCAGTAGGCTGATTTCAGCTAAAACCGTTTTGAAAACGAAGTTCACAGGTGGTCAGTGCATAAGTTTTCACAGGTCTTTCAGTTTGCTTAAGGTTTGCTTCGCTTCATCAATTGTATTCCAGAAACCTTTCGCACCAAATTTTGAAATATCGCAAAAGGAGGGAAAGTAACAGCCCTTATTTCGCAACAAATAGTAAAAAAAAGAATTAAATATAAGGTATTAAATCGAGCAGTGCACGTTTTCAGGGTTTTCACGCTGTAATCGCGTTAAATATGGCGACCAAGAAGTGAATTAAATACAAGAAACACATCCAAGCCTTTCTACCATTTGTACCTGTCTGTAAGCAATTGGTACATACCTAGAGCAGGCGCTTGGACTTTAATTTATTCAACTGACTTCTCCTCAGGTTCCCCAGGACTCAAAACACTGAAACAAATGAACCGTAGTTAATTAAACAAAGCGATCCCTCGGTATTGATGTGGCACATGCAAATGGCTCAAACCAAACGAACAGACCTTTTCACCAATGGAGTCATTTTAAAACTACCATTAGAATTTTTTCTCTTTCCCTCCTATTCAAATTCATGTGCCCAGGTGACAAGCCTAATTTGGGCACAGAAAACGAAATCCTGAAGCACTCTGGTTACTGAAGCGTAATCGACTGTAAAATGACGCCATGATGAAAACGGGCTTTACACGTTCTGTTCTAAGAATTGCCTTTTTACCTGTTGTATTTAGCTGTGTGAACAGCTGGGGAAAACCAGTACGCACTTCGTAAACACTGCAATTTAAAAAAGCTTATCCTTTAAAATGTGCTTTCGCAAACTGACATAGTCATTCAGCGGCAGTGGTGTGGGTTTAGATTAAGGTGTGGGTGGTTGGTGGGGGATTGTTTTGCACAATGTCTGCTTTGACAGCAGCAATCGTGGCAAAAAGAATCCAACAATAGATTAATATGTCTTATATTATTCGACAAATTTGCTTACCAGTTAAAAACCAGATTTCAGCTGCATGTTCAACTGTGAAAATATTATTCCAGTAAGACTGCGTAGCCCTCCTCGTTTGCGATTATGGTTTATTAAGTTGCATGCAAACGAAAGGTCACGAGTTCATAAACTTAGAATGGCGGCAGTCGAAAAATTGATCTGGAACTGGGCAGGAGGGAAGGGGGATTGCTCAAAAGATTTACAGGGACTAAAAGGTACCATATTCGGTATTTCATCGCTGATTTAGTCTGTTTGGTCAATTAAGATAGCCTTAAATTTATCTTTTCATCCATGCTTCCTTACCGCTGTTCTGCTTGTCTAGTCTACGGCTTGAGGTGTTATTTTATTGGTGTTTAAGGCGGTTCTCTGACCAATCAGAAAAGTGCACCTTATCCTATCGGTTTTGTACTGCAATCAGTGAATCCTTGAAACATTTTTTTTTTTCGCTATTTGTATTTTAATGACGATTTTTAATTTCGTTTTTCTTGTTTTTTTGTTTTTATTAATGTAATTCTATATTCTTAATGTAAAGAATATTACTCTGAGATGCATAGACCGTATGAATGCCAGCCTGTTTAAATAGTTTTACTTTTAACTTGACATTACTTTTCATTACACCCGATAAGATAGACCCCCACAAAAACGTAAAAATATTGCATTTACGTACCCTTTGGAAAAGTAATACTATGTAGATATCTGCTGTATTCAAAGGCATAATGTCGTTTTACCTGAGGAATGATTTATTGCAAAAGCCACTTATTTTTCGCTGATGCTAACTTCAAAAGATAATTTATAGGGTGGGCGCACGTGTGATAAGGCAATATTGGGAAAGTCCGTAATACAGGCAACTAAATTCTGAAGAAATTATTTGTTGAAGAAGCTTTGAAAAGTTTCAGCAAAACAGAAGTTAGGCAAATTAGCTTTCTGTCGAAACTTGTGACATCTTTCGTATTTTGTGAAAAAAAAAACGCGGTTTGGATGGTGTTGTATGTCATGGCCTGTACATGCAGGCACCGCATAACCTGGGCAGGGTGGGGTTTGTACCCTATTTGTCCTGACAGCAAAAAACAATTCTTAATGTCAGCTGATCCTATGTATTTTTTCCTAGCGTTTGGGTATTAAAAAGTACTTTTCCTCGCGGGTGCTTTGACGTTCGTTCTCATGCAATGTGTCAGCATTAATGTTTGTTCTTTGTTTGTTTCTCTTATTTAGATGAATCACCCCATTCCTTCTCCAGGTGTCGAGCTTAACGCAATGAGTGTTTCCTCTGAGCTAAGACCATTATACAGACTTACTTCAGTTAAAGAAGAGTGTGCAGAAGAGGAACTGAATAGCTTTAGTAATCTGGCAAAATTGGTATTCAGTTTTCAATCTAAAACTAACAGTGCCCATATTGGCCAAGAATGCCCCATCAATTGTCCTTGTAAATGCCAATTCCATCTTCACTGCCTGTTGTGAATGAGTATCGGCCTTCTGTGATAATGGCTCCAGTGGCCAGAAAGCACAGGGGATCATCTGTGACACATTTCCCTCTTAGGATGCAGGTAAACTATAAAATAAATGAGGGTCATATTACACCAACTCCTCCGTATGGAAAGGACTTTTGCATACCCAGTGCCATATCATCGGGCTATGGCATGATGAGTCTTAATGGGACGGAGCAGCTGTCCATGGCAGTCACTGCCGGGTTAATTAATATGGTAGTGCGCATGCGGAAGGTACTGGCCATACGGCAGAATTGGTACGTGTGTTTCAGTGCTGAAATTGGTATTATTCAATATCATCGGGGTCACCTATAGCCAGGCGAAGATTTTTCGCCCGTGTAAGGACATTATTAACTGTCATAACTGTCAGAAACCCTAGCCTCCCACGCATACTTTTTTAAGGCCTCGTCACGCCTTCCTGTCCCACGTTCATAGAGCAGGAACGTGGAACGAAGCCCAAATAGCCTGTTTCAGGCACTCAGATCGTGGGGACGGCGCGAGGATCTGTGAGCATAAAAAAATTTTTCCCGCTCTCTTCGCGCCGCACTCCACTATCTAAACCCCTGGAACAGGCTAAAGCTCTAAGGACGTCTGTGTGGGCTCCTGCATCCTCGTGAGTATTCTCAAAGTTTTTCTATACGTGAATCACGCCAAAAAAAGCGTAGCTAATAGAAAGAACACTTTAACGTTTTCACAGCCCCAAATTGTTCCACAGAGGTGGACTAAGGGAGCTACCTGTTCTCCTTAGAAAGGAGAAAGAGGCGAGGTTAGTAAGGGCTAGGAGCTTAGTAAACTACAAATTCAAAACTGCCTTTTCAACAACATTTTGTACCAAACTTTTCACGCGCTTATAACATGCTTCGAGTGATCGTGGGTAAAATTGTATAGAAATGATCTGAAGGCCGGGTCTGAAGGGTAGCACAAAATTACTTCGAGTTAGCGGGAGGTTCGAATTATCGAGGGATCGAGATACCGAGGGTAAAATTACAGTAAATGGATAAAGGAAATCCAGGGGAAATCGACTTTGGTTCGAGTAAGCGCGCGGTTCGAGTTTGCGAGGGTTCGAGTTTTCGGGAGTCAACTCAGTGTATATCTCATTCGCAATCATTAGAGGGTTATACGTTCGACTCTTCTCCAAATAAGGTGAACATTTTGTCTCAAAAAAGGCTCATGAAGGCTCCATATTATGTCAAAGGTTATACGTGAAACGATCTTCATTAGAACGATCTGACCATGCATGGAACGGACTTTCGATGGTTATTTTGGCGTCTTTATAAGTAGCTTTTGCAATTTCCGGCTCCTTCGCTGTGTTTACGATTACATTTAAACATGCAGACACACATGGATGAGTTCAATTGAATCTTTCTCAGCGATGATTCAGGTGACGATTAGTCTTATTATTTCGCCGGACGTTCATGCAACAAATTATTGAAGATTTTTTGAGTTTCAATTGTCTACCAAACGGCTAAGTGAAGATAAAACAAGCATCTAAAAAGCAGGATTAAAAACAATTCACTAAGTTCAAGGAAAATGAGCTGAAAAAAATTTGGACAGCCTATTTAACTAGAAAAATGGGTACATTTTTGAAGTTGGCCGGGCTGCAGTTTCCTTCCCAGGTTTTTTTTTGGGGGGGATGGGGGGGGGGGGGGGGGTGGTACAGGTACAGAGCTTGTTTTTTTTTTACTGACCACCACCCCTCCCCCCATTCTCCTTCGATAGACACTGTACCACGAGTCAAATTTTAGTACAACACCTCCACACCTCTTCATGGTACTTTTTAAATTATCACTGGATGAGGTCACACTAGAGAAAGTACGGCACCGTAAGTGCATTCAAGGGGACTCCCGTATGAAAGGAGAGGAGACGCTCGTCGTCTTGCTTAGGGATGTAAATTTCGGATTTTTGTCTCCATTAAGTTTAGGGTGCTCTGAGCAAAAGGCCATTATATTTAGCCTTAAAGGTCTCTTTTAGGGTTGCACGCGAACAAAAATTACATATTTTCAATTCGTTTTATTTACTCGATTCATGTGATAAAAGTTTGAAATGTTCTCTTTTAAGGGTCAAAAAAAAGGCCCCGCTTAGATTGGTCTCCTTTAAGGGTCTAACCCAAAATATCCGAAACAAAACTGAATGCAGGGCTGGCACTACGGCAAAGGGCTGATTTATTATAGGCCAATATTATTAACCACTTATGTAAATTTTAAATTCAAATTTTAGGAACCGTTAAAAGATATTTTCTCTCAGTAAAGCTCTGGCCCTGAAGAAGGCTAATTTTGTTGGCCGAAATATTGGCCTATAATAAATCAGCCCTTTGCCGTAGGCCAGCCCTGTATTCTTTTTTGTTTTATTTTACACTTTAAGTGACGTCTGGCTACAGCATCTCGTTAATTAGAGATCCGGCAAGAGGAACCAGTCAGTTATATTTACGCGTTGCGTGGACCTCTGCATTCAAACAGTTTTTCAAAATAGCCGATTAGCATCCCCGCCCCTTTCATATGGGAGTCCCACCCCCGGGAGTAATCTTTTCTCTGGTTAATTTCCATGTTCCATGACTTCGGCGGAAAGGACAAAGATGACCAATCACCGATATGCATCGGGGTTACCAAAAGAATAAGATCTCAACGCACGTGAGTCCTTAAGTTAGATTAGTCTCAAGCACGTGTTTCGTATAGGATATCAGTCAGAAAAAGATTTGCTTGAGACTCAATTAAGAAAAAATGCTTTAAACTCTTGAAAAATTCAATGTAATACAAGTGCGTTCTAGCTTTTTAGATCACTTTCGGAGTAGATCGCATGTCGTGTCATTGGGAAGTTTTTTTTTCGCAGTGTACTAAGGATTCTCACTCTCGTCAAATGAAAAGATTTTCATTCAAGAAATACGGGACAGCAGCGTGTGTGAGCTCTAGATTAGTCTCCGGCACGTGTTTCGTATATGATATCATTCAATAATGGAAAGTTCACTCATTCCAAGTTAAGTCGGTAAATTACAATGTATTAGTGTGTGTAACAATTTTTGAGGACTAAAATGGTTTTCTCATAATCATTTTGCTAAAAAATACTTAAGGTACGACCGAATAAATAGAAACAGCTCCTATTTGTGCTACTTCAGACAGCAACTTTGAGGGAATCGAGGTCAAAGCTGTCCAAAACATACAATTTTGTTATTTCCGCAGGGAGGGTCTGTATACAATGAAACGGTAGATTTTGGCTTGTCACTTATGGAACCTTATCTATCCAATGTCTGGGAATGGACTTAAACTTAAGACGGTAAGTCCTACATAAACATTGCTTACTGCAGATCAGTTCTGTTGCCCGGGGGAGCAATCAAGGGAAGTTTGGGTACAGCTGTGTCGCCGAGGCCTTCAAACCCAGACCTTGTTTAAGACAAAAATTGCTCATCTCGTAACCTTGTTTAAGACAGGAGACACTACTTTCTGACCCTGATTTGTTTTGTTTTGCATACAGAATTAAGTAATTTTTACACTAAAATCGTGGAAATAAATAGATATTTAGGGAAAAATTATTGGTTATGCAAATGTAGACCGGTCATCGCAAGTCTTCACACTCTTTTTAAGGCTTCCAGTACTAAAAGACACTTTGTTCAAGACGCTTAATAATGAAATTGTATTCCCTGTTTTAAGACTCAAGACTTGAAAACCCTACCCTGTTCAGCGGCACATACCCGTATAGGCCAAATAAGGGAGTGTCCCCCTCGGATTTTGTTGCTTGTAACTACATTGAACTGGTGTCCGCTATTTTTATGAGAATTCCGTTACCGATCTTATTTCGAAAACAAAGACCCCCTACAAAACCAATCCGAAAAAAATATATGAAGTCGAATTACGACTGTTCAAAGACTATAATCCGTAAAACAACCAAAAACTATCATCTGCGTGCTGACGATCAGCTTCTTCTAAAAATTTGGAGACATATCAGTATTGAGGCTTTAAAAAGAGGATGAAAAGCCATAGACTACCTGTATATAATGGTACACTGAAAATATGCCTTACCCCGCCGATTGTTTTGACTATAATTTTGGCTTTCCACCTGCTGGAGATGGATATTTGCCTTCGCGTCTCTGCGGCCGTGATTGCGTTACCTAAAAATCACCCAGAAGAGAAGTGCGCTTTGTTTTGATTGTTTTGACTGGCCAGCAAAGGTAAAAAAACGTATTTTTGTGTGATGTTTTACCGATAAAGATGTTGACCACTTGACGATCGGAAGCGATTAAGACCCCCAAATTAACCGTTGAATTTGACCTAAAATTCGGTGGAAAGAATAGGACAGAAGATAATTTGACAGATTAGACCAATTTCGGTTACAATTTGACTTCATATTTCGACGGATTCGATTTAAGGGGGTCTTAGTTTTCGTAATCTCGAAAACTAAGATGGGTCTTAGGAAATAAATATCGCGACTGGTTTGCATTGGGTAATGTATCAATCAAATCCAACTGCATGAATCGACGTCTTTTTTCATTGAATCAAATTTCGTTTGATCTAGGATTTGAATAAAATTTAGGGGCAATTATTCCAATACATCTACGATCATGTATGATCAATCTATTATTTGAAGAACTACCTTTCCTATTATTAAACTATTCAGAACAGATAGCTTTATACACTATTATTGATTTTAATTTTATGGCACTTTTTTGGCCTACGAACTATATCTAAATGTGGCTATATGGCCGGTAACCGGTCAATGTTTTTAAAACACTAAATGACCGGCAGTCCTATATTCTTAGTAAATTTCACAAAATCGAAAAATTCCAGTTAATCTTAACTATCATATGTCGATTAAGAAAAGTGACCGACAAACCCTACATTCTCTCTTTCGTCTTCTGAGCCCAGTGTAAACCAAACGCTATTCTTGAGATCTATGAAGCATTTCAGGATCCCTCGACTTTTCATAATCGACAAATGATAGTTTGGTTAAGCTGGTTTTTTCCGATTTGTGAAATTTACGGAGAAT